ACAAAAATAAACACAAGTAGAATTATTCATGACTAGCAATAACGAAATTGCGTGACAACAGTGACAATCGTAACATGGCAGTCCCCAAAAGATAACTCCAGATGTGCGATATTGAAGGCCCGAGTTCACACAGCCATGCGTCTTGTTAGCATGTAATTCCCTCCTCCTCCATTTTTTTTATTTTATTTTTATTTATATTTGTTATTTGCATTTTATATTTTTTATCAGATGTCTAACTCGATCTTCAACTCGAAGTCCAACTCGAAGTCTAACTCGAACTCGAACTCGAACTCGAATGTAAATTCGATGGTTCGGGATTCCCATTTTGCGAAACGCAACGACAGTTGTAGTTAACTGCGCATTTGCCGTTCTCTTTTAATTTTCGGTCTCTCGACCTTTCATTATTTCACAGTGGTTCGGAAGGGTACTTCGCGCTGTGTTATGAGGAGGAATTTTAAGTAGAGTGTAGCCGTTTGGCTGTGCTATGGCAATCTTTTTTAGAGGTCAAAGGCACGGTTTCCGGACTTTCCTCTGTTATCTGCATGCCGCTTCGCAGTTTGACACCTCTATCATATGCTTATAATTTCTTTAACGCTCATTTCAATAAGGCAAAATATGTTTTAAGTTGAAGTATTGGCCCCGGAGGGACAAAGTTTGAAATATCCCGGGAACATGTTGCTTACTTGCACGCTATATAATGATGCCGGGCCCGGCTGTTTGATTAGAACAGAACTGTTTGCCAGCACAGAAAATGTAGCTTCTTGACAGGTCTAATTACCTCATTGACAGGCTAATCACCAAGGGCGGATAGGCACATCAAAAACAAAGTCTGCAGGTTCCCCTGTCCCGCCCCTGTCGCTTCGCTCTTCGAATTCTTCTGTTTCGCGCTCGCAAAATTTTTTTCCCGCCCTCGCCGGAAGCCTGTTCGCAGGCTAACATCCTGGGAGTGAAATGTTTATTAGAAGTAATATTTTTCTACATGCTGTGAAGTAAATCGTGTAGTCTGGTTTTTGAAGGACTTACAATTGTCAATTGCCTTGCCAATATTGTACTCCACTCAACTGAATCGGTGCCGTAGCAACAGTTGCTTTCGCAGTTGATTATCTCAACCGGATTTTATCTAGGATATCCTCCCGTTTTGCAGGCGTCTTGTTTTGATGCTGTACGTTTTAATGGTTTCAGATCACTTCTTTAAGTACTTGTGATAAATTGTATCTAGCAAACCCAGGAATATGAAGATAATTGAGGTTGTTGAACCGTCAGTCACTAACAACAATTCAAAACTATCCCTACCCGAAAGATTACACTATTACAACTACTGAATATAATCAAGTGAGGCAGAAGCCTTTCTTGATATTTTATGATGTAGTGCAAACTAGGGCCCGGATTGGATTCACGAAACTGTATCCTTGGCCTTGTTTCGCACCGAAAAACCCGATTGACATTATAGGACATTACTTGAAATAAATCTTATCGTTATATGGCTAGCTCTCTGAGCGGGCAAGATGAACCAAATCTTGTGATTGGCTACCTGGGCGGGCAAGATGCGCTACTTTGCAGCTCGGAATTACGCGCTGTGTTTCGCAAACAAATTCCCCGAGCCAGTTACTAAATCCTTTATCGACCAAGTTTTTTCGATCAAGATGGCTTCTTTGCGTGCTTTTGGACTTCGTCCCTATCTCGGTCAAAAACCACGCGAAAACAGAACTTAATAGCCAAAACCAGCCATCTTGACCTCACGCTTAGTGAGCAGCCCATATATATTCCCGACGATCTAGATGGAGTTTAATTGGTCAAGATTTTGGTTGTCAGCTCTCGCGTTATCTAACTGATACGTGAGATCCGAGTTCTGCAAAACTTACTGATAGCTGAGAAATGTGCTGAAATCGTAAGTGATAGTTGAGAGATGGCAAAAAAAATTAACTGATAACTGAGATTCCAGTACCACCATTCACACCCTCCGGCAATGAAGCTTGCTAAATCCGTCCCGAATATTTCACTATATTCCGTGCAGGTTTCATTAATGAGAGACCCAAGTTCATTGGTATATATACAGACAAAACTGTTAGCTTTGGCTCAAATTGCCATGCTCAACAGGAATAAATACATGCAGTATTACGAGTAATTTTGGTTTATAAACTAGATAAATATATTTGAAAGTATTTAATTTATCTACCCAGTACTCGTTGCTTTGCACAATTCTTATCAGTACTATGTTTTGTTGTTGTTGTTTCTTTTTTGTCCATATCCGGTAATAGCTGAAAGATTTAGAAGAGAGGAAGAATAAAGAGCTCTCTGATAAACTCAGAGAGTATGAGGCAACAACAGAAATCCTCAACAAGAAAATTTATGATATGGAAAAGGCGGGAATGGAAAAGAAGATCAGCGACTTGGAAACAGAGCGCGATGAAGCCATAGAAGACAAGTTGCAGACGGAATGCCAATTGCACGACTTGCAGGGCGAAATCACAAACCTGAAGGGCCAATTGGATGAAGTCCTGAGACTGCAACAGTTACCTTGGTGGAAAAAACTATTCGGAATGACTGAATAAAGTTAACTGTGTGACCATGGCGAAAACAGAACTTTTAGAGGGATAAATAAACAAAGCAATATACAAAAGTTAGGCGCACTGTAGGGGAAGAAACAAAAAAAAAAAAAAAAGAAAGAAAGAAAGAAAAGGAAAAAAGAAAAAAAAAAAAAACGCGTTTAGTGGAAAAATAATTGTAGAGAATACTTCTTTTAAAGAAGTAGATTTCATTATTAAAGTTTGTCTAATTAACGCTGAAACTACACCACGATCTATATATTTTACACTTTTGCTTCAGCACAGACTTTTGTCTTCCTTATTGTTACAAACTGCGCATCAAATGATTCAGTAATATTCACAATAGACATGTAAAATGCACTTGGTAACCATAAATATTACATTTGTAGGTAAAATTGAGAGGTAATGATACGTTTTAGATATTATTGTTATTGTTTTCACTGCTTTTATCAGTCCAGAGCATTTTCACTTTTGTAAATGTGCGAAACAACTGAGCGTGACGTAACAACATGGTACTTGCCACCTCTTAGCGAGTAGACGCTACTGGACTTCTAGATTGGCGGGTTTGTTTTTTTAATCATTGTCACTGTCATTACAAAGGGTATCGGCTAACAGCAATATAAAGCCTCTATTGCATATACTTTTCATTTACAGTTGAATGCATGTACCTAAAGCTCTTCCTCAGCCATAAAAAAAGGATTAGTAACTGAAAACAACGCAAGGAAATAAATAGTTTGAACAGGCTGGATGCACTCGATGGTTGACAATTTTTCAACTTCTTATAATGATCTTTTCTGTTGATAACATTTTGGATAGGATGCCAAATTATCTTAAATTGTTTTTAGCCTGGAAGAGGGTGAAGGGGGTGACATAATACTTTTAGGGGCTAGAATCCGTGGTTTAGAACCGCCTCAGAGACAGCTTACTGATACCAGAACGTACAATTTTGTACAAAACCTGTTGAGACAACCTATGTTCTATGAAAGAAGCAATAGAATCAGGAAAATTATCTAAACTCGATAAACGGACACTTACAAAAGTAAGGTTTGTTTTATCGTTGTTCCTCAATTTGAAGTTAAATTACGGAAAAATCTGTGAGCTGGCAATCCCCATACAAACTCTCAATAAATATTTAGTAACCGGGTAAAAATTATCTTACGTGACACGGGCTAATGACGTGCGTTTGGGCTGCCTGTGCGCGAAAAAGAAAATTAATAGCATATGCTTGTTTTCCGACCCATTTTACCCCCTTTCCCCACCCTGGAATCAAAGCATTAAGTTACTTCTCTTCTTCAACTCCTCATTTTCAAAAGTGATGCTTAGAACGCTCATTACACGTTTCAAACCCTTATGGGTTTTAGATTTCATACTATCAACTGAATGCAGGCTCGTATTTTCTGTGCAACAAGGCGCAGTAAAACACCTGTTGGATTCGGGATTCTTGTCTTAGCAAGTCTTACCTACTTACTTACTTACTTACTTACTTACTTACTTACTTACTTACTTACTTACTTACTTACTTACTTACTTACTTACTTACTTACTTACTTACTTACTTACTTGATATCCAGGATAATCTATGACAGTTAGTAATCTTGATTATCGTGGATTTCACGAAAAACTCATCCACTAATCGCTTAATGGTTCAAGAATATAATAATCTTCTCAAGAGAGACTTTTAGAGCCACGTTTTTCGCAAACGGCGAACGGCTAGGAGTCACGTGACCAGAGCTACACGTCACGTTTGGGGTTTTCAAGTTACGTTTTGAACTTCAAGATTTAGGTTTACACGTAAGGCATTAACCCCAAGCTTTATTGCTAAGAATTTTACTCTATGCCACGTACAAATGCTAAAATCGAATAAAGCAAGCCTTTTTCTACAAATTGGTTATAGTTTTTAGGCAAATAAGCATTTACCTAGCCTTTTGTTGCTGTTTGTAGAAAGGCACTGATCCTAAGTGGATATCCAATATGGCGGCGGCTTAAGTTAAATCATGAATGTGTGTTTTATAATCGATGCTTTATTTCATGCTAAAAAACATACATTTTTGTATCAATATTTTTTGGCATAATTTACTTACCCGCCGGCTTACTCATAGATTCAAGCATATATTCACAGTAAAATAAACTGTTCACTGAATAATGTTCGCAAAGAGTGGAACCATCTACATGAGTTTTCTTCATGACGCTTACACACTAAATATCATTTCGTGGCATGGTCGTGTCTTGCTTAACAAGAAGAGAGCGACAGCATGTTAGGCCAAAATCAAAACGAAAACGAAAAAGTAAAAAGTTTCTCGTGCTTGCTAATCAGTATTAATGCATAATCAGATCATAATCATAATCAGAGATGTTTTAAAATCACTTTCACTAATAACAGTACCAGTAGACTTTCTATGAGTTAGTATGATCAAAGGCAGATTATTCAGTATAAGGCTTGGCAGTTGGCAGAACGATTATCTCTCAGATTAGAGCGAAAAACTCGTACAATTATTTATTGTACATATAGCGAGAATTTTAGGCAATAAACCTTGCAAATAGAATTCTATATGTGCTATATTTGCACATGTGGAAAAAGCGATCACCGGCGTCCAGTCAGCTTCGCGTATAGCGTTCTTCCCATGTGAAAATATAACCAATCACCGTCCAGAGTAGAATCACTTAGCCAATCAGAGTTAGGCACTCAAATGGCTTCCGAGAAGCGCGGTCTTGAAATCAGCGCCCGCTTGAAGTTTGTGTTTCGAGAACATGGCGTCGGCTTCCCGTTTTAGTTCACTTTCGGAAAAACAGCAGCGGAATATATCCAACATCTTGAGCGCTAGAACTTCAGTTTGAGAATCAATGGCCATTTAAGAAACCGGGAAAGTAAATTTAACATCACAAAGCCAACAACATTCAAGGAGGAACATTCACATTTAAACAGTATGAGTCAACAGAGTCCGAATTTGTCTTTGCACGGCGCAAAGCGCCGCTATTACATGATTGAATTTGAGAGTGATTAGGGACAAGCGAAAAGATTTCACACTATGTATTTACGAATTCTCCCGTATTACATTTAAGCTTGTGTAGGCTATTCGTCCGCCTGTTGCTGGACGGGAAAGCAGATTTGTTTGTTTTTATTACGATTGGTCATTTAGATCAGTTTTGAATTTGTTGCTCTTCTGCATGTAAATTTACGGTATCGGGAAAACTAAAACTGATTCAACGGATATGTTTAATTCTCGTTATATAAACAATAAACAGATTACAACATAGAAAGTGCTTTGTACAGATTTTTATTCACTCGTCGAAAAACTCGTTTTTATTCACTCGTTGGAAAACTCACTCGTTCGCCGCGCTCACCTGTTCGTTTTCCAAAGTTTTGCAACTCGTGAATAAAAATCCGTAAGTCGCACTTTCTATGAAGTAATCTATATTTATAATCAATTTAATCTATCTTTGTGTCTTAGTATAAAATGATTGAGGGATAAACTGATAAATGTGTCTCAAAATTTGAAATTATAATTCTGTACCACAAACATTGGTATAAAACATTTCGTCGAAAACACATGAAAATTAACTGCTTCTTTGCAACAGAAGTAGGATCGAAATTTTATTACTCGCCATTCAATGGAAAAAGAGAGCCATTTAACTCAAGTGAGAGAGCAAAACGTGGAAAACAAGACGAGAATGGAAGACTTCATTATGTTGGACAAATCGACGATTAAACAAAAGCGTTCTAACAAACAGCGTTGCTCGTTAGAATAAAAATTAGAATTTAATGACTTTTGCTAGCTTTAGAAACTTGTTCTGTTCTTGTCCGCTAGACAGACAAAACAAGAGTTTTGATAACGTAGAGCAACATTTTCCATTACGTTTTGATCAGCGACAAGTAAGTATCAAAGAAGTTTATGGGTTAGTTTGCAGGTATTATTTAGTAATTTTGATATAATCATGGTGAATGAAATTTAGAACGCGATGTAGTCATTGTAAATCGCAGAAGAAGACAAAGGAAGTTGTTTATGGTCTATTAGCATATGATTCAATCTTTCAACTGCAAAATAACTGGGTTTTATCTTTTTCTCAGCTCGTGAGCGGGCGTAATTCAACAAATCCTGCAATCTGATTGGTTCCGGGAGCGGGCGGAATTTTCTCATCCGGA